CGCGCGTCCAGTGTAAAAGTAAAAGTGTTTTGGTGTATTGTGGTGATTTAGTGTTTTATTTTGATATTTTTACTTTATTCGATAGAAAATGACATTCTGAATAGAATGACATATCATATGCCAACTTTTGATATTTTCGCTTAAAACTAAACTAACTAAAATCGTATCATAAACTTCAATCAAGAGTGCCATGAAGGTGTTAAAATCACTAATTTTTAATCAAGGAGCCTTGGAAAAATAGATTTGATCGTCTAATATTTTTCGTGTCTTGTTCTGGCCGCTTAAAAGGTCCAAATTGTATTTTGCCAATCGATGCCCAAATTGTCGTTATATACATACTGCATGTTTTGATTTCAAATAAACTATGCGAAAATGTCAGAAGTTGACATATGATATGCCATTCTATTCAGAATGTTATTTTCTATCGAATAAAATTAAAAAAAAACCAAGGGTGCCATTTAAAATTCAAAAGTTGTAGTCATTTCCGGTGAAACAGGAAGTGACCAAACATAATTGAATATATCAATCAATCCTGATTTATGTCATATACTAACATATATCAAATCTCGTTTTTTTATCTCAAAAAATAAAAAGTTATAAGGGTGAGCCGAAAACCACCCGGTATACCATAAATGTACCAAAAAGATTTAATAGGTACTATTCTTGCTTCCTTTAATTTAGAAGCTAAAAATTCTTAAAACCAGTAATATACTTATTAATTACCAGTTACTGTCCCACTTTAGCCCACAGTGCGATGGTGGCAGCACCGGCGCGGCGGAGAATGCATCAAGCCCAAAGATCAAGCCTATAGAGATTGAGAGTTTTGTTTAAATAGACATGTTTATAGGCCTTAACGCTAGATAAGAAATTCGCCAAAAAGTTTTTCTGTATGAACTTTCAGTCTATGACGAATCGTTTTTGAAATAAATAGAATTAATGCAAGAATGATAAAAGACGAGACAGAAAACATTGAACAAACTCTTCGAAAACACAGTTAGTTAATGTCAATATATTTAGTTAAATACAGGTCTCATATTTAATTGAATTATATTAGCATAATAAAGGCGCTTGTCTTGTTTTTCCCAACAAAGTATATTTTATCAAGCAGGCTGCTCGTGCGGAAAATTCGACCTTTGACCTTAAAAACGCTCCGCGTCTCTGATTGACGCTTAACGCCATATTTTACCCGAAATAAACCGGCGACACAAAAAAGGACTCTCTTTTTTTTTCATAAAATATTTAATATCCGAATATATTAACTTTTCGTAACATTTTTGCATGTCGTCTAAATCCGAGCAGGATTTTCTTTTATGCTGAGGTTTTATATTCTAAAGCTTAAATAATTATTAAGGCGATGATAGATTTTTCACAATTCAAAAAATTGTGCATTATTAAATATTATTTATATATTTGTGCATTTTGTGAGGTACGTGTTGAGTAAATTAACAAAAAAAAAATGATTACAGTTATAGGTTAACAGAATTGAAGTGATTTTACAGGACAAATTATAAAATATCGAGTATGATATTTTTTTGTAGTTTTATTGGAAAATATTTGAAATTTTCGATTGGTGTTATTTTTGATCGCTGATATCTTTGAGACGGTTGATCTGAGGAACTTTGACCTTCAGACGTTTTTTGTAGAGCGTGAAATTTCCTATAAATTTTTTCGCGAGGATGTTGCGGAAACATACCATTCCGAAATTATTAAAACTCAAAAATAAAAAAGAAAAATTTCTGCGTTATTTAAATGGAAAAACAACAAATAAATTTAGGCAAACCTTAATATTAATATTAAGGGTTCTACTATGCGCCAAAATTTTTGTTTTTAAATGTAATTTCAACTTTTCAACACTATAATAAAAAATAAAAAAAATATATATTTTGAATCACCCTAATATGTATAAAATAAAGGATATATCAAGAAAAACAAATATTCTTCGTACAAGTGCTCTCAGTGCCTATATAGCTTGCATGTGAACATTTTTATTTAAAATTTGAAAGAATTAATTTATCATTTCAAATTCCAATAAGCGTGTAAGAGATTCCAGAACAAACAAGAATCTCGCTCTTCAAAACAGTCTGCGAATCTAGGGATGTGTGCCCTATTATCGATATAATAAAATATCAATATTTTTTTTAAATGGATGAAACAGAATTGGAGGTTAGCTAATAAAATTTGTCTAATCTATCAATATTACTCATACCTATTAAATAATATTTTCTAAATGTGTTAGAAAATATTAACACGCAAAATATTAACAGTGCAACGTATCTGGATGACCAACACGTAGGGTTTAATCTTTGTAGTGCTCTTAATAACTAACTCCTAACCCCCGAAAAGGGGTGAAAAAAGTAAATAAAATAATATTTAGCAGAGCCATCATAAAACAAGAAGAAAATAATATTTTCGAACTTTCGGACAAACGAATGGACTACAAAAAAAAGTTCAAATGAAAGTTGTAGAGCGTCCAATTTTACATAAAAATGACCTCTATACTTTTTTGCTCAAATCAAAATTAACTGAGATAGGCTGGCTAGAATCTAGGGGACAGCTTATATTGAAACCGAGGGGTAAACACCTGACCAAAATGTGTACACCAGAAATCCACTTTTGATAAATAAATCCAAGGAAATCCACAGAAATCCAAGGAAATCCACAGAAATACACAGAAATCCAAAGAAATCTAAAGATATCTAAACATATGTAAAGAAATCCACAGAAATCCAAGGAAATCCAAAAAATATTAGATTGCATTTTAAATAGTAATATAATAGTATAAAGTCGATATAGTATATTTCGGGAGATTTTTATATGACATATGACCAAAGTAATAAAAAAATTGAGAGTGAGTTTTTTATGTGAATAAATGTCTATTTCACTTACTATTAATATTATGCGGTGATTAGTATTAGTTCAAACGACAAAATGAAATAAAAAGTAATAGACTTGGGACCATTTAAGCTGCAGTTTGACAGAATTTGTTATACAGGGTGTCCCAGAAATAAGGCAAATATTTTAAGGGGTGGTAGATCTCGATAAAAGGAACATATTTTCTCTTTATCGTTTTTTAAACAAGTCCAAAATAACGGAGTTATTTTACTTTGAAAATTTCCAAAAAAAATTATTTTTTGCTAAAATTTTGAGAACCACTGGATCTTTTCTGGATTTTCTTTCTTGTAAATTTAATTTAATACCTATGTTGCCATATTATCAAGAAATTATGTTTTTTAACTAAAAACTAAAAAAATTTCCAAAAAATTTCGAATTTAAAAACAAAAAAAAACTCATAGGCGTGTTTCTGGGGTTGAACTATACTACCAGTTAAAATATTTGCACTTATTTCTGGGACACCCTGTATAGTAAGTCATTAATACAAAGGTCTGTTTGAATGAACAAATCGGCAACTTTAATTGGTCCCAATTATACATTATACTGTATACTGAAATAGTTTTATTTTATATTTAACAAATAAGGATATTTTTATAGTATACTAGGAGGACACAACTAATATAATAACAAAAAAAGAAGAATAAAAACAACAGGACCTTTGTATTAATGACTTACTACATAACAAATTCTGTCAAACTGCAGGTTAAATGGTCCCAAGTCTAATACTTTTTATTTCATTTTGACGTTTAAACTAATACTAATCACTCATAATATTAATAGTATGCGAAATAGACATTTATTCACATAAAAACTCAATCTCAATTTTTTTATTACTTCTTGGTCATATGTCATATAGAAATCTCCTGAAATATACTATATCGACTTTATATTATTATATTACTATTTAAAATGCCATCTAATATTTTTGGATTTCCTTGGATTTCTATGGATTTCTTTAGATTTCTTTTGATTTCAGTGTATTTCTGTGGATTTCCTTGGATTTCTGTGGATTTCTTTAGATTTCTATGGATTTCTGTGGATTTCCTTGGATTTCTGTGGATTTCTATGGATTTCTTTAGGTTTCTTTGGATTTCCGTGGATTTTCTTGGATTTGTTTATCAAAAGTGGATTTCTGGTGTACACATTTTGGTCAGGAAATCTACTAACGACATCTAGAGAAATCCACAGATATCTAATAGACATCCACAGAAATCCACGGAAATCCATTGAAATCTACAGAAATCTACGGAAATCCACTGACATCCATGGAAATCCACAGAAATCCACAGACATCCATGGAAATCCACGGAAATCCATATAGGTGTACACCAGAAATCCACAGGTGTTTACCCCTCGATTGAAACATTTGTTTCAAAGTCCTTACCATTTCTCTGAAGTTTGAAAAAAAACACTTTATTTATATTTTTTCACCCCTTCTCGGGGTAACTTTAAAAAAATCTTAATTGAAATTTATAATTTTCCAAACAAATTGAATAAAAATGTTAAATATTTGAATTTTTCAACAACTCATATTTTTTTTAAATTTCTACTATCATCCTCTAGCTTCTAGACACCCTATCTTGGTTAATTTTGGTCTGAACAAAAAAAATTTTAGAGATCATTTCTATGTAAAATTTGTCGCTCCACAATTTTTATTTGAATTTTTTTTCTAGTTCTTACCGTTTCTCCGAAATTTCGAAAAAGTAAACAAATAAATTTATTTATTTCACCCCTCTTCGGGGTGAATTAAAAAAAAATTCACAATTCGTTTTTAGATCTTTCAAAGTATCTTATACCAAAAATTTTTTTACCAAAACTTCGTATTTAAAGGCATATTTTCTTGGACCATGTGTCAAGAAAATGAAACGTTTGAACTACGCTCTCACGTTTAAACATTCTTGTGGGGATAGAATGCTCATTAAAACGCTTGTTATTATAAATAACTATTTTTTTGTTAAAAACAGACGTGAATAAAAAGGTACTAGTTTAAATATTTGCACTTATTTACAACGCATTCTGGAGATATCGATATATTTTTTAATGTAGGTACTAAAAATATCGATGTTTTCTTTCCAACAACATTCCTACTAGGAACAACAACTACTTACCCTACGTTCTTCCTCCCTGGCGGCTCGCAGATGGCACTCGATCGCCTCCAGGTCGATATTTGGCATCGCGGTTTCGATATTGTAAACATCGAATCCCCCTGCAAAATACGAAGACGTTGGGTTTAAAAATATCGGGAAATGGGGTCGTAGGAAACTGTTACTGTCTAGCTTTATGGCACCGGTACAGTATCAGTTTCTTTTAGAATATATATGAATAGAGTTTTCATAATATATCGTAAAAGTAGAAGGACATCATATATTAAAAAATATTATTTTTGGATATTTGTTTTACTGACAATAAAATATAGTAACAGAACATTTTTATTAGAGCTACTCAGGAGTGTCTCATTTCATGCGGAGGTTACGTTCCTTGAAAACACCGCGAAAATAGAAACGTATATTGAAACAAACTTTCTATTACATAAACTATACAGGGAGAGTCTTAAATAAAAAGCAATTATTTTTAAGACAGTTATATTTCGGAGTAGTCAATGCCTTATACGTTGTTTTTTATGAAAAAGTTGAAAATTTTGTATTTAAAAAAATTAGGAACTTATTAAATTTTTAAATAAAAAAAAAATGACAGCTTGATAATATGGCAACATAGGTACTAGCGTTGATCCGTTGGTAGCCATTTATTTCAATCAACGGTATTAGATTAAATTTATAGAAAAGGGAAACAGAAAAAAGTCGCAGTTTGATAATTTATGAAAAATATAATTATGTAAATTTTCAATCGATATCGAGATATAACACCCGTGAAAATATTTGTATTTACTTAACACTTACCCTGTATAGTAAATATAACATTCCATAAAACATTCCTATAATTATGTATGGGAACACTATATATATTTGATACCAATTAAACTTTTAGTTACGTAATCGAGGGCGCGATTTTTAAATTCATTGTTGCCAACCATAGACATATTTCGCGCCGGGCTGACTAACTAAAATTTAAATTTCCCGCTGGGAATTCAGGTGGTATAGTATAACAGCTAGCAACGTTTTCGAAAAAGTATTTTAAGACGTCTGGCTCTTTGATATATCTTTTACTATGCCCTCTGGAATAGAATGCGGCCCGTCTGGCTGCCGATACCCGTTGCATTCACTACTGCGCATCGGAAGAAGATCCTATGTTTTTTATTAATTTAGTCCTATACATTCTAGTATTGAATATAAATCGAACATGTCTCCATAGCGCAGTGCGTAGAGTTTCCGACCACGAACCGATGATTCAGAGTTCAAATCCTGGTCAGGGCAGACTTTTTTATTTTATTTTTGTTTATATTCTGATAGTAAAGTATTAAATAATTCTGGTGATTCAAAAAACAAATAATTTAATACTTTACTATCAGAATCTATAAAAAAATAAAAAAAGTCTTTGTCCTGACCCGGATTCGAACTCTGAATCATCGGTTCGTGGTCGGAAACTGTGCGCTATGGAGACATGTTCGATTTATATTCAATACTAGAATTTAAAGGACTAATAAAAATATAGGATCTTCTTTCAATGCGTAGTAGGGAACACAACGTTTACCGGCAGCCAGACGGGCCGCATGCTGTTCTAGAGAGCATAGTCAAAGATATATCAAAGAGCCAGACGTCTTAAAATACTTGTTTTTTCGACGTTGCTAGCTCTCGTACTAGTAGCTCTGCTGAAAAAAATCAAGTCAAGTTACCACATTTATTTATTTATTTCCCGACATTGTAATTCGTTTCGACACTCTAGTTTTGTACTACGAGTTTTTGGTTTAAATAAATAGTGTTGTGATACTTTAAGCTATAGCTATATCGATATATTATCATTATAGCTTAAAGCTATAATGATAATAGTGTTGTGATACTTTAAGCTAAAAAATGTTTACTAGCAGACCTTGCAGTAGAATAGTGTTCTTTTTAGAACCTCTTTTAGTGCGAAGTGTACAAGATAGCTTAATAGCCGTAAAAAACTCATCGCAACTTTATTAGAATATTTTGAACGGGAAAGCCTTAGTAATGGCCCTTTATGTCTATTAAGTGCTCTTAAGAAGATGAATTTGGTCGATGTAAATAATAATTGTTTATATATTTATAATTAATTTAGTTTTGTTTCCCAAATTATTATAATTAAATGAAAATATGTATAAATGAGCAACACTGTGCCGGTCAAGCTTAATCACGCGACTATAAGTTTATTTGATATGGACTATACATACATAATTAGGTGTAACATTTATAAAAATATGTACAATATGTTTGAACATAAACAAATGTAAATACATAAATCAATGTATGATGCCAACGACACAAAGATCTGTTTATTAATTTTCAATTTTTTTCCTTCAATTTTCGAAGATCGTGTGCTATGGTAAGATATTTGTGTAGAATATTTAGTGTTAACACCTGTGGTGCCACTACATCTTCATTTCTCTCTTCAACTTCTTCGTTATGCCCCAGTTCTTAGAGTTCTTTTACAGTGAGTTCAACAATATGTTATTCAATAATATGTAGGTCATTTATAATAAAAGGAATTTAATGATCTGAATCAGAAAGATATATCTTTTCAGGCAACGATTTTTCTAAATCAGCAATTTATTTAATCTTATCTCTGATGCCAAGCACCTTTGCATGATACAATGTGTGATACATCTATGTTTTACAGCCTTTTTTCATTGCAGGCCTGATCCACTGCGAGCTTTTCAGATCTATTGTAGTCCTCTTCTGATCCTTAGGGTACATTCTCCAGTATATCCTTTTTACAAAGTCCATCAACTTGGGGACTGAACTGTCCATATAGCTCTTTGTCAATGGCCTATTATTGAGAAAATAAACTGCATGTGTTCTGTCGTTTCCTCTTCAGATTGACGTCAATCCTATCAGCTTTAGATGCCTATTCAGCTTACAATGTCCTGTCAGTAGACCCAATATAGCTGTGACCGTCTGTATTAGGTCTATTATTCTTATCAGGTTATTATTTTTACCTGGTATGTTCTACTATGAACTTTTTTGCCTATTCTACAGATTTGTTGGCCACCTATCGTTCTGTAGCCATTCACGTGACTGTTTTTACGCCGAAGAAGGTTTCTGGGCTTATGAATGATGAGCATAGATGAGCTTTGTTTGGTCATTTCATCTGCCTCTTCGTTACCTTTGTGACTCTCGTGCTGTGGTACCCAGGCCAACATAACATTGCCTGGATACAAAAAAACAGCGTTTAAGTGCGCTTAAAATATGCTGCTGGTCAACAATACCAACGCGTATAAGCGAAACCGCGTAAAACGAGAAACATCTATATTATAAAACGTATAAACTCCTATAATATGTAAAATGGTCCAAATTATATTTTATACATCCATAATAAACGAGAAAAATATATCATTCATTTTCGTTATCTTTTATGCGAACATAGTAACGTCATTTCTATAACAACCAAAAGCAAATTTGCACATTTTAACGAACACTCTATTTCACAGGCAATTTGCATTTTATCGAAATCCCATGCAAATCCGTATTAATTTTCGAGAAAGGGGTTAAAAAGGCTTAAAAGGGTTTCGTTTTCGCAATTTTCCCCATCTAAAAGAATAATCTAATTGTTCTCGCATATCGAATATCCATTCATTCGTTTTTAAAGGGGAAAATCCAATTCAACACGCAATATCCTGCTAATAAATATTGAACATATTTTTAAAATACATTTAAAAATTGAAATTATTATTATAAATTAAAAAATTTATTTTTTAATTTTAGTGCAATTTTTACATATTGAAGCTTATTGTGTATTTTATTCATAAACAATATCATAGAGATATTTAAAACTTAGGAAAATAGAAGGTAGTTTGCCTTATTATAGTATTAACAAATCACGAGAATGGTGGAAAAAATAATCAGAATAAAGGCAGGTAATACAGTTCATAATAGAGGTCAAAATTTAAGGAAAACTTGTTAAGCCAAGCCATGAAAGCTGTCAAATCTGTAACGAGTCTACTAACAGTGCATTGCAAATATATAATAAATAATTATTGATTTTTAAAATATTTATTCGCAAACTAGAGAGTGGGAAATCAGATAATGAACAGAGATGATAGGTGTTAGGTAATTGCTTATAGATCACCGTTTGAGACGCATTGATGGTATTTTGGGTTTGCAAGTTTTGGTTTTTGTAAGGAGGAATGTTATTAAAGATAAAGTAAATGTTTCTTTATCATTTAACTAATGTTAACTAGAGCACATATTTTATTTTTCTGTTGTAATATTCTGTGCTAAAGCTTTTCCTTTTTTATTTCATTTGAAAATTATTATTAATAACATGTGTATTTGCACCAAACTAAACCTCCAACTTTAGCTTTGAACCTCGAAACCTGAGACCTCAGTACCTGCTGACCTTAGCACTGTTGCTATCACAACTAATATATTCTAGAAACTTAAATTTATTGCCTATTTGATACAAAGTCGGTGCAGAATTTTTGAGCATTGAATGCTTTCTATCGTTTTGTACAACACACATACAGAGCCTTTCTTCATAACCTTGCTGGATATGAATAGCCGGTTGTTTGCATATTCAGATAATTTTCATAGTCTAAAAATATTTGCACCAAACCTCCAACTTTAGCTTCGAACCTCGAAACCAGAGACCTCAGTACCTGCTGACCTCAGTACATATCACAACTAATATATTCTAGAAACTTAAAGTTATTGCCTATTTGATACAAAGTCAGTGCAGAATTTTTGAGCATTGAATGCTTTCTGTCGTTTTGTACAACACACATCAATACAGAGCCTCTCTTCATAACCTTGCTGGATATGAATAACCGGTTGTTTGCATATTCAGATAAATTTCTAAGTCGTTCAGTGGATCATATTCATTAGTACCACATATTCTTTTCAATTGTTAAACGCACTTCTAATGAGCTTCAAATTCGTTTATCCATCTTCGTTTGGAAACGATAATCCAATTTCATGTAAAATTTTTGACAAATCTCCGAATCAGGATATTCTCCATTCATCTCTTCAACTTCACGTGTATCTTCTAACTCGTAACTCTTTCGGTAAATCTTATACCGCCGTGATTTTAATCGAGAAGATTTTAAGGCTCACTCGTCAGTCTTGGACCAATAGAGAGCACGTGATTCGGAAGCTGCTCATAATAATTACCAACTTGGGAAAATCATCGGAAAAATCATGTGAAATATGGCAAATAGATATTTGAACAGGAAACACCTCAAAAAATTCTAATCTCATGATGTTTAGTTTGATGTATTATAGTTTGATGTATGATTCCTTATATTTTTCAGGCTAATAACAATAATAATATTTATTCTTTGATAACAACTCCATTTATAAATAATTTTACAAATTAGCTTTGTATTTATTTCATTTGAAGTAGTATTGTACATCCCATAACACATCCTAACAACTTTATAAGTGACTATATAATTGTCTGACCAAGTAAGCTTGTCAGGCATATTATTATATTTAGTTAAAGGGTGCCATAATTACCGTAGCTAACAGCTAATTTTGGCAATAATTGCCGTGTTTGTACTGTGTTGATTGTATTCCTAATGTGGTAATGGACCATGTAATATTATGTTAATTGCCCTTAAGATCTCTTTGAAGTTGAGTATGGACAGTTTACTTACCACAATCAAGTAGTATATTATACAAGGTGCAAAAAGGGAAGTGAGAAGTAACTTGGATGGCGATTTAAAGAAAATGATGTTTTTATATAATATTTTTCGAATTGGCGTTTTCCTATAAAATTATTTGCTTATAGAGGATAAACCAAAATAACAAAATGCATCTTAATATTAATTGGCACAATGAACTACTTCATCAGGTAAAAGTATAGTGTCATGAGTCATATTACTAGTTCAATTCTTGGAATAAACAAATAAAAATAATATACAGGCTGGACCGAACTGTATTCCGTAACCTTCGGTGGCACATAAAAGTAAGTAAAAAACTTCTTATAAACTTATGTCCAAAAATGCTTCGTTTCGGAGATACAGAGTGTAGAAGTTTCATTTTTATTTCGATTTTATCCTAATAATTTCTGAACTAAATTCGGTATTTGGATTAGTACGTGTTTTTTTAACTTCAGAAATTTGATTTCGATGTCAATATGACTCCTACTACTGAAGAATAATAACTTTTTGTCCATACCTGTATAAAACTACTGAGAAAAAAAATACATTTCCGTAAGTTTTTACGGAAAAAATGTCTCTTGGTAAACATTGCTACGAGCAACCGTTTTCCAGTTATTTGGAATAGAAATAGTCAACACATGTCATTATTGACAAAAAATAAATAATATGTTGACTAGATGATAAATAAAAGAAATGATAAATTTATAAACTTTTTATTCAGACTAATTGGAGCGAAACACGTCGCTATGCGGTTACTGCGGTTCGACCTCAACTCCAAGAGTGATTATAAATAATTTATAGTTACGTCGTTCTTGAGTAACAGGTTCCTGATTCGTTGTGGAGCGCGACACGACGCGACGTTACAAAAAAATACCGCTTCAAAATCGCGTTACTACCGACACATATTATATACTAATTAGAATACACGATCAAATTCAAGCTGCTTCGCTGACCTCGTCGCTGCGCCTCTAGCCTCGTCGGTCCACTATGTTTTTATTCTTAATTATCTATCAGAAAACATCTAAAAATGACCTCAAGTGTTTTAGTATTAGTATCTACTTACAGAAAATACACACAATATAAATTTCCCTCACGCCTCACTCAAAGAACATAATATAATTTATCTCTTCAGTATGACGGACCCTTAAAGCATACCCTAGCGGCACATAACACTTTGCGTTATCGGGCCCATTGTCCGCACCGTAATATAATTCAAAACAATTCGAACGGTTTAATTAAAATCGTAATTAGCGTGTTAATGGAGGTAATGGCCGAGCGAGGGCGCGGACGACGCCGTCGCCGCTGCTGCGCCTTAATTGGGTCGGGTTATAGCGGCGCAGTCCGGCGGGAATTAGCGGGCCCTTTTTGCGCCCTCTTGCGGACCCACTAATAGCCACGCCGGACGCTTAAGTCGGCTAGCAAGTAATAACGCGCGGAAGTTGCACGTGCTGGGTGGATTTTAGTGGATGTTTTTATGGATATGGCTCATTTAGGCTTAATCGGGCTTAATATACCAGACCGAGACCATTCCATCGTTTTGTTTAGTGTATTGTGAGATTCAAGTAGACAATGTGCAATGTAGACATTTTTATTGTAATAATAAGTACCTAAGAGCTGTAATATCTGACAAACGAATCTAAAACAGCGGAAGGAATTCGGGCAAAAAAAGTCGATGTTGTCACGTTTAATTATAGAAAAGCAAAGTTGCTCGATATTACCTATAAATTGAATATATTTTAGTTCATTTCAGCATACATAATTATATATATGCTAATATGTTGACGTAGTTCTTATTGTAATAATGTATATTTATCTAATTAACTGATTTCGTTCATTCTGCCTATTACAAAAGGTAAAGCGTTTCCTTAAGGTAACGTCCGCTTAGGGTAAGCTGGCAACGCTGACAAAATTCATCATGGCATCCCGGATTCAACCAGTCTGATTGGTGGAGATTCTCGCTCGTCTTGTCGCCATTACCCCCAACTTTATGCGCCTCTCTAGGAATAGTAGAAACAGTCACTACTATGAAAAATCCAGTGGCGGTGTTATTGTATTGTGTTTTATATCTTTAACTTGATTTGTGTTTATTGTAATTAGTACCTACACGCGTTTTAACAAATATTACTATATTTGGCAAATGACTAAACAAAATGTAGGTACATTTAAAGTAAAATAATATTATAAACTTTATTGGAAAATATTATAAAAATTCCGGATATATTTTTATGAAACCCCGCACGCTCGTGGATATTTTATGAATGAAATCGGTCATGATTTTAGAAAATTGCGATCCCTCTGCCGTTGCCCCGTTGTTTCAGATCCGTTTGTCAGACTGTAGTAGTGGGCATTTTACATAATGTAAAAAAACTTACCCAACGATTCTGAATTTGTTGTTTTCTTCCTTTCTTTCGCCATAGGCACCGATCTTCTATTTAAAGGATCTCTTTTGATAACTTCCTTCTTAGGAAACGTTATTAGACTTCCAAACTGTTGATTGTAGTCTCTTCGTTTCTTTATGTAAGGATTCATTTTTACGGGATTTCTTCTCACTACAGAAACGTTGTCATCCTCCTTCATATGATTTTCATTAGCTGAAATAATAATAATTATTTTATTGCTTATTCCCATTTTCATTTTTTAATATAGCACAATTTAAATAGAAACTAAGTACATTAAATAGAAAATAGAAATATTATGTACACTATACTATTTAGCTATTGGCTATTTCACGTCAATTTCTGTGTGTGAAATTGTTGCACAAATGCATAAACTATATCAATAACTCTGATTGACAGCCGTATTATCTAAAAGCTGCACAAGTTCACTTTCTCTGCAGTTTATTAAGATAACACGATGGAAAGCAAAATTATCTGGTTAAAATTAAATTAAATAAAACAATAATGTTTTAAATTGCTATATGTAAAAAAATTATTTGTTGTAAAAAATTTTACAGGGCAAAAAAAAAGCACAACTTTGAGTCATATTTCAAAAATGACAACTCCCAGGGAAAAACTAGTTACGTTATTGAATTATAATGAAAAACTCTACGGGACACAATTTTCATCTTTTCGATATATAAAATAAATATTATACGAAGGGGATAAAAAATGCAACATTTTCAAATTCATATTATCATATTTATTCGTATTTTAGGAACTAAGAGGGCTAGGACAAATTTCTATGTAGCATCTAAGTTTCATTAAAAAGTAGCACAGGGATATGAAAACCGCAATTTAGGGTATCCGTTATTTCCCAAGTTGATTATTTTTTTGCTGCCGCCCTCTGAAATTTTAGTTTTTGGTCTAAAAAAATTATCCAACGTAAACAAGCTTTTAATTTTGAATTTAAACTGTGCCGGAATCATTTCTGACCTTTTGCATTTAATTATTTATCTCCAAAGCAAATGAACTTAGAGCTTCAATAAAGACATATTTTAATACAAATTTTACGCTCTACAAAAAAGGTCTCTGTTTTTTTTCCATAAAAACATTCCTTTAAGAGTTATTCGCGGTTAATTTCTAATCAATTTTTTCTATCATTCACTGCAAATTTTAATTGCGCCTTTTGATTTTGACTAAAAAAGGATCTATAGCCATACTTTTTTCAATAAAACAATATTTCTTTACCAACCTTAATATGGAAAACTAATATTGCCTTTCAGTATTCGTAAATATGTGTGTCCATTGAAAAGAATGAACAAATTTCGAATGGTTTTTATTTTAAATATTACTTGTATCGAATTAATTAAATTAAATTATTAATTAATTAAATTAAATTAAATTATTAGTTGAATAAATTAAACTATGAATTAATAAATTAAACGATTAATCAATTAAATTTAATTATTATTTAATTAATTAAATTATTAATTAAGTTATATTATTAATCAATTAAATTAATTTAATTAATTCGATACAAGTAATACTTAAGATAAAAATAATCGATTAAAAAGATAAGATTAAATTATTAATATACAAAAATTGACCGCGAATAACTTTTAAAGGAATGTTTTTATGGAACTTTTAAGAAATGTCTTTTGGATAATTTTTTAGACCAAAAACTAAAATTTCAGAGGGCGGCAGCAAAATAATAATGGGAAATAACAGACATCATAAACCGCATCTGTGTATCACTACTCAAAACGAGAAACCCTACAGAATACACGAAAATGGGACACCCTGTACATAAATACGGCAAACGATTTCAAAAACGGTTATAGTTGAGATAGAAAATTATCAAAAATTTCAGACAGAGTTTTAAGAGCTAGGATTAAAAGTACAAATAAAATAGTGACAAACAATATCGTACGAACCTTCTAGTCTCAACTTGACTTCCTCGTCCATATGACACAGGGTGTCCGATTTAATCTTTTTGATCTGAATCTCAATCTCTTCCAGTTCCCTGTTGGAGTCCCTACGTCCCAAATCCACTTTTTTCGATCCGTTGTCGACTTCCATCAATTTGCAATTTGCATTTTCCGATCTGCAGTCCGCATCGACGTCAGCTTTTCTGATAGACGACACGCTTGCCGGCTTAGCCTGTGTCGGTTTTTCAACGACGATTTTCGATATGCTCTCCCTGCAGCTGGACAGAGTGGCATCTGCCATTTTGTTTTCGATAGGCGACAGAATGGATAGAGCCTCTTTTACTTTTGCTTGGTTTAGTGGAAGGAAGGATGGAATGTTTTTAATAGTGCCTCTTTCGCGTAGGTTTAAGTTTTGATTTGATTGAGATATTGGGAAGAGTTTTGGCGAAACAGTGCTCGTCTGGATAACATGGTCTACATCCATTTTTTGTAATTCTTTTTTGGATTCTGTTTTCGTGTTTCTATCTGTTAATTTTGCCTCATCCTTCATATCTGTTTCATCTGTACACATTTGATTACTAGATTTTATTAATCGGGTATCATCTAGAACCTGTGAGTGTTTTATACAGGGAGATATATTTTGGTTGGTTTTTTCATTGATGTTTGCTTCAATATTACAGCTTGCAAGTTCTGGTTTGAAGTTTGGAATAACTTGAAGTTTTTCCACCGCTTCTTGGATGTCAGTTTTGTACGAGTCCTTAAGACACTGGAAGAGAAGATAATGTGTTTCATAAATAATATCTACGGGGTTATGCATCGGCTTAGGATATACCGTGTGGTGCATCGGAACATGGGACATAGGAAATTCCATGTAAATTTTGAAATGGTCAAATATTATGTCCCCAGATGCGAAATGTATGCGAAAATTGTAATAGATTCTCTGAAAAACCTTTAAAGTTGTACTTTCGTCTAGAATTTCGTTGTATTTGGAATAGGCATTTAAATGTTATTTGCAGAAATCTACCTGAAATCATTAAAAAAATATAATACGCCCTAGAGAAAGCTACAGTTAAAATACCAGCAAAAATGTGATTTTGTTATGGTCAAATTCGATATCACATTTTGTTTACAAGAATATATGTGATTTGGAAATGGTGGTTAATTTTTTTCTGAATTGGAATGATCATCTGAAAAATGATTAGTTGAACCGAGAGTAGTATTCGCGGTGTATGACTTGTTTGCTGTTCATTACTCGTCACTCTCAGGCGTCGGTCATACCACATACTACATCCACAGTAATTTAAGAAATAATCGAAATATTTCTAACTAAAGGAACTTTATTAAACAACTATACTAATTAATGAAATGTTCACATAATTCCCCATTCACAACCAAACAATACCCCAAATGACTGTAAAATTCATTGGAATCTTTAGCATTACACAGAGATATCGTTTTCAGTTAATTTAAATTTCTGTATTTATTATGCCCATAAAGACGGAATGTGTTCTACAGGAAGAATTCGTTCGGCGAAAGATCCTACCATGTGGTCTTTTCCTACTGTATGACCTATTGATAGGTGTCAATGTTTTTTTTCTTCAACATGACGAAAAGTATTCAAGTCATTGTTGATTTCTTGCTGTTCATTATTTTTATCTTCACACTTCCATCTGCCTAATTTAATATGATCGAAAAAGAAACGGCGTTAACGATAACTATAAAATGAAGATCGTTGTCATTTTATATGTAAAATTATATGGGGAATGTGTCATCGATGTTCATTTCCAAGCCAACTGGAGGCCATTTTTTTTCGATCATACGGTACCATGCCTTTAGTTTCAGACTTCTGGTTTATTCTTTAAACTATAGTAATTTTATAGAATTACAAATTGAGTATTTTCCGCATCGCCAGACATTAATTTAATTTAATTTATTGGTTTCTAATTAAATAGACAATAAAGTACAGGTTTCTAATTTATATATGAAGTTGACAGCTTAAGGTATGCTGACATTTGCCCGGTTTTGCCTGTTCAATTTTAATTTAAAGATATATGTAGTTTTTCTTAATTTAGTTAAAATCGGCTTGTACAAAATTGTTCAAATTTGGCATGCGTATTTAGCATACAAATATTTACGACTTCGTTATAGGCTTGGTGCATTTCAGTTGATTTCAACAACTTCCGACCGTAGCGCTTCAACGGTAGAAATCAGAAATTATCAGTATGTATTTCATGCCGCCGCCGTACCGTCCCGGTTTCAGTTCATGTTGATCGCATTAAAATAATATTGAAATCGTGGTTTTGTCATAATATTTAAGTATTCTAGTTTTTGCTAGTACAGTTATTGAGATTATAAAACACTCAGGTATGAGGTTTGTGTGATGTAATGCGTAAAGCTGTTTCGGGTAGTAAAATATAAGTGAAAAAAAACCGAACTAGGCGTCGCTCGGTGGGGTATTAGCATGAAAAAGGTGATCGAAATTCGAAAAAGCAAATGTGTTTAAGAATTCCCAAAAAAAGATAAATGATAAGTTAAATCATCTCTGCCATGAATGGCGTTGCTATGGGTGTGTTTAGTTGCATTCATTTGTTTCAACGAAACGTCAAAGTTGTTACTTCTCACAGATGAACTACGTCGATAAGAGGTAAATGGCTAAATTTTATGTTTAAAATTATAAATTGTTGTTGTTCTTGTACTCTTTTACGTTTATATTATTGTTTTCATTGAAAATGGCTCAGCAAGCTGCAGGTATGTATTCTACAAAAACGTATTAATTATTTTGATATTCTCTATACTAACGATTTTTTTGCAACTAAAAGTTAGGCGTTCAGAAAATTTGATTAAATTTGTGACATTTTATTATATAGAGATTTAGTTGCGCATTTCGAAGAATTCAGCATATTGTCTATATACGTTTTACTTAGTAAACATTGGGCTTTCATACAGTAAAATAAAATACTGCGACTTTTTGCGATTTTGCTGATAAAATGAGAAAAACATTCTTGGTTTCCTCTAATTTGCCAATCAGTGATATATTAATGCGAGGTGTAAACCGCGATGGCATTGTTGTGTATAAAGCGATCGCATTAGTGCCATTAGCAGTATAGCACAATTTGGCATTAGTAGCGACTTTAGTGGTATGGACATTGCTCGCGGATCAGTCGTAGCATTAGTAGTAGAAGTTGCGATATTACTACTGGCACTGACCGTGGAAACACTGGAACACTGGAACAGTGATTTTTCTTTCTTTTTTTAGAATCGTCGAATTATCCTTTATTTTGTTCATATTATTTCCTCTTTAATTGAAAATAGCAATAATTTATATAAGGTCTACATAAAAAAATTTCGATTAACTATCTGTGTCAAATACCCCACTGTGCGTAGTCGTAGCATTAGTAGTAGTTGCGATATTACTACTGGCACTGACCGTGGAAACACTGGAACAGTGATTTTTCTTTCTTGTTTTAGAATCGTCGAATTATCCTTTATTTTGTTCATATTATTTCCTCTTTAATTGAAAATAGCAATAATTTATATAAGGTCTACATAAAAAAATTTCGATCAACTATCTGTGTCAAATACCCCACTGTGCGTCGTGTTGTGCTGTGATAATTTCAAATGTTAATAAAATTGGCGAAAAAATGTTAACGCGTAAAGAAAGGCGTGATTAGGGCGTTGTTGGGTGCAATAACATTCAATAACTCAACTTTCCCGGATATTCAACTCTCCCGAAACAACATTTTATAGCTTCATAATTTCTCACACTGATTTGTTCAAACGGAAAAATGGATTCAAGCAGTTCGGCGAAACAAATGAGTAAAAAAAAGTGCTCGTTACATAATCAAAAATTTAAATAAACATAATATGTTTATTTAAATTTTTGATTAGGATGTAACGAGTATATTATACTATGAGAGGATAAAATATAATTTGCAATATTAATCGTATACCTTTTTTAATCAACTAGTGATTAATTATTGTTTTATGAACATCTTATAAAATTATAATTATGTACTTTTAAAAAATTTCGTTATAACCGAAATAGCTCCTAATTATGACTCCGCTAGCAAAACCGCTGATTAAGACTATTGTCGCTACCGTAGTTGAATTCATCTAAAAAGTTTTAACTGGAATAATAAATTATAATACAAGTTAAACCTTCTGAAAATATCAAAATAGTTACTTTTTTATTTTTATTTTTAGAATTTTCACAAATTATACTTCCTAACACTTTTAGAATAATTATATAATAAATTTTTCATATACTCGCAATTTAAACCCGTGTATTTGTATATACTAGTTGTTTACGATATTCTCCGATGGTGGCAGCACCGGTGGAGAATGCACCAAGCCTATAAAATCAACAGGAGAACGAATATTTGGACAGTTTAAATTTGCGTGGGATTTCCTATGTTTCCAACGACCATGCACCACCCAGTATACCTATATTTTTGAGCGCTATTAAATATAAAGCTTAATTGATTTCCTAATTTTGAATAAAATAGCCTAAACATATTTTCTTACTTCTGTTTTACACATCCTGCCGATTTCATCCTCCACCTCCTTTCTAAAATCACCGACAACACTGCAAATGAACGCCGAGTCTACTTTAGCGTTTGCATTCCCACCGACATCAACACTATTTTCATCATCACTTTTAACCACATCACCAACATTATCTGCTGTTGTCTCTCCGATAACCGAATCACATTCTTTATTAACTTTCTTATCTGGTTCGTCTCGAATCTCAACGTTAACCACCGACTGAACTACACTATCAAACACTTTCTTCTCCTCAAGCCGTATATTGAAGTCCTCGTTTACGGTTTCACCGCTGTCGTCGCTATTGGCACCACATTCGCTGCCAGAGTCGCAGTTGGTGCTGCAACTACCATTTGGAGATTCCCGATCGACTTCGGGTGCGGTCGGACGTGTATCTGCGACCTCGATATCCAGAGATTTGTCATGGAAGACTTTCTGGATATTTTCCACGCTGTCCAAACGGTTGACGCTGTCAAATTTATCGCCGGGCTGTAACAATATAACTTAGTTATTAATATACCATCTACGCTAAATATGCTTCGAATAATAAAGAAAACCCGTAAAAGAATAGAGTGTGAGATGAACCACCTATTTAAAAATAGATATATTTCTTTAAATCTAAAACATTCAGTTTTAAGACACTCTGTATACATAAATAAAATTATTGATTTTTTAAAATATTATTCGCAAAATCCGAGAGAGGAAAATCAGGCGACAAACAGAGATAATAGTTAAGTAATAGCTTTTAGATTACCATTCGAAACGCATTTATGTTATTTTTGCTTCGTAAGTTTTGTAACAAAGAATGTTGTTAAAGGTAATGTAAATGTTTGCTCATTATTTAACTAGTGTTAATTAAAGCATATAGCTTATTGGTCTGTTGTAATATTCTGTGCTAAAGATTTTCCGTATTTATTTCATCTGAGAATAATATCATATAACATAAATATGCATGTATTTTAATGGAATCGATGAATAATTTTCAGTTTAAAAGTAATCTACATACAATCGGTTTTTGTCCTTCCTCCATTCGTACCGATGTTTGTGGTTCAGTGTGAGAATAAGGGCTTTGTTGAGTGTACTAACATTTTTCTACCGTGCATGGGCGAATATCTAGCTCGCAAAAGGGCAAACAAAAACAATTAATAGAATAACTCATAGAATAATTATTTATAATCTAAAGATATTGGCTCCAAACCTTCAACTTTAGCTTCGAGACTCGCAAAAAGAGACCTTAATACTTGCCTTCCGTTTTGAATGTAATAAATGTGGTATGTTTTTAATGTATTAAACTACAAACCTTGATATGAGGACAGTTTCTGTATTATTATTATTTCTCTTTTATTAAAAGTTCAGAATAGCATAGTTAGATTCTCTGGAATAGTGATCAGGGTTTTCTCTGCCGTTCTGTTTTACTTGTGAATTCCAGGCAGAGTACGACACTCCTTTCATTTCATTTAATAAAATAAGTAGGGCTATGTACAAATTTAGCGTTTCATTTACATAACTTATTCTCCTCAAATTTTCTAAAATATTGCTTCTGTCGGGTGCATCCGAGGTAATCACCTCGAATGTAACCTAATTTATTGCATTTAATTTTTTTGTTAAACAGTTGGCCAAAACATTACCTCTTCAACTTTGTTGACGACCCTGGGTCCAACATAGTGGATACGACATAAGACCCTGGTAATAAAATCATCTACAGAATCAAGTCCCTCAAGGGGCAATGGGCAAGACACCTTGCAAAAAGGTCTGACATCAAATTAATCACAAAAATTACAGCATGGTACCCAAGTGTAATTAAGAGACCTAGAAGAAGACCAAATCTAAGATGGGACCATTATATTAGAAAATTAGAGGAGATAACTTGGACCCGCATTGATAACAATAGACACAGACACCGATGGGCCTAATTATAAAGAGATTATCTAAACATCCTTGGTGGCTACATCATAACTGGAAATTGTTGAATAGGCTGGAAATGATCATGATGATGATGTACCACGAATATAATAACACTTACTTGGAATTCTTCATTGTTGTTATTGTTGGCGTTATTCAAAGTCTCATCGTCGAAATCGAGAGTGTGCGCGAGATGTTGAAATCCTGGATAATTTGGGTTTACGAAACTTTTGGGTTTTTCTGGACGAATGTCGATCGGGGTACGTGAGTAGTCGTTTCCCTCGTCAGAAGAATCCCCAGAATCGGAAGGATCAAATGTCCTGTCTTCGTCCTGAGGCGAAGCTGAAACAGACGAACTGCAGCTTTGATGTGCATCTGAAAAAAAAAGAGTTTGGTTTACAGGGAGGTCGAAATTGGTCTGTTTTAACACAAAAAAACCATTTCAAACATTTCCTAACTAACTGCGAAACCGTTAAAAATTTTGAAATACTCTAAATTCAAAAAATGTTCATTTTTTAATTCTTTACTGAAAAACTAATATACAGGGTGTTCCATTAAAAAAAAACAAGAAAAAATATTTTATATTTTAGAAAGTTTGGCGTAGAATTTTGAAAATCTGTGTGATTTACGATTTCCATATTTATAGCCAAGTAAGTACAGACCATCTAAAGCAAATACCTAATTCAGTTTTGATTTCAGGACAGTAATTGTATTTTCAATAATTTTTTAAGAAAGGCTAAAAAATGTATATTTTTTATTTATTTATTAATATCTCTAAAGCCAAAAATGAAATAATATAGGGGGTGTTCCATTAAAAAAATTATCCTGATCCACTCACACTTTTTTGAGCAATCCTATAGAAGTTAAAGTATTTTCCTGAAATACATCCTAGTACATACTTTAGGTATGCACTTAAACAAAATTCCCAAGTTGTTTATTCTAGGAGCTACAGATGCCCGGCGCACTATTGCCGGACCCTGATATGGTAGGACGTTCTCTAGTTTTTTAAGTGTAAGCCAAAAGTAGTAATACTAAAGTGTAAAAATGAAGGTCTTACCATCTTCATCAATGAGAGCATCATCTGGCGACTGAGGCATCCGATCGTCCTTGTACGGGGGCGCGTTCTGGGCATTCTGAGCCCGAAAGCGTAGCCGCGCAGCCAGATTGCTGTTGATGTTGATGCGGTTGTTGGCGATGTTGCTCAACGCCAACTGACGTTGAAAGTTGAGTTGTGGTTGATCTTGCGTGTCGGTGTCTGTAGTGAGGTTGGAGTTGCACCATCGCAACTAAGAAAAAGAAAACTTCTTTATTATTCTAATATTATAAGCCTTAATTTGCTAAGTCGTCTTTTCAGCCTCACGTTGGGCGCCAATTTTTAACAGGTTGTTGTATTATTTCTTTGACGGTTTGTTCCAACCAATGAGTACCGTACGATCTAGAAAAACGGCGTCAAAGACGTCTGGGGAATGACAATCGATAACAATTTTGGCAAGTCAAGCCCTAGACGTCTTTTACTTGGCCCGTAGTCTTTATTTTTACCTGCCTTTCTGCCAGTTAGCCTTAAGAAGGTTGTAATGTTTTACAATTAGTAAAAATTATTTTTAAATGGTGTAGTTTAAAATTCAAGTTCAATTTTTTACAATTATATTTGTGTGTTTGGAAACGTTCTATCATTTTTAATCTTTCTATACTTAGTGTTAACTTTTGTTAAGTTGACCTCGCACAAAAATTATCATTCCCCAGCCGTGTTTGACGCCGATTTTTTTCGATCATAACGCAGTAAAAACTCTTAACTAACTTTTTTTTCATAAAATATCAATCAGTTTAAGGAATTATTGATTATTACGTTACTTAACTTTTAGGTATCAGTGATTGTCACAGTTTGATGGGATTTAATTCGTAATGCTGTGGTGCTAATCACAAAAACAAGTTAGACGCTACAACAACGCTATAACAAGTTAAGTCCCTATTGATAAAAATTGAAATACAAATTATTATTGCTGCAAATATATTTACCTCCTGTGTATCGTTATGTCCGTTTGTTAGTGCAGCCACATCCTCAATGGTAAGCTGCTGGATTTTCTTCGTAATATTTTCAGTGTCATTGTTGGTACTATCGTTATAAAAAGTTGTGCCGATATCCTGAAAATAAAAACGAGAGAAATTGCCAAGAGATGTCAACAAATGTGGACATCATCTGAAATAATATAAATAATTCAAAGCTTGTAACAAATATCATTAATGAAATATTATCAATTAAATATGTTTTTTTTATGTCTTTCAATGTTTCAATTTATCGGTGTTTACACAAAACAAGGCAAAAACAATCAAGCTTAAAAATTAAAAGTTTAGAAATTAAAACAAACATTAGGGATTAAATACAGTGGTAGTCTGAGGATTTATTACTCGAATTTTAAAAACGTTTTATTATTAATAATTTCGTGAAGCATTTTTTGCTTGTTTGTGAGAGAATTGGGTATTTTTTTCAGATTTTGTTTTTTTGTGTTTATATACTTATATTTATCTTTTCTATAAATTATTTTTTTTCGATGTTATTTTATTTTAAAAGTAATATTGAAAATATCTTCAGCCAGTAATACTAAGAATAATTACTATTCAAATTTTACATATACATTTTAGTTTGATGCGTTATTTTGAGTAAAATTATTCGAGGACAAAATGAAAATATGAGTTTCGAATCCACCCGAGTACTGATAAAAAACAAATAATCAAACTTAAATTACGGATGTACCTGAATTTTGATAGTATAAAGTTTGAATTATTTCATTATTTTACTGTAACAATATTTTTAATTAGTTCAGTTTTTGAAAAGTTAAATGAGTATTTAAAAAGATGAATTCCAATATCGGTTCATCAATTCAAACACAGACTACAAAAATTGAAGAAGTTTAATTATACATAGCGTTGTCAGACTTTTCTAATATAACTCTATAATTACAGTTGAGGGTTGGAACCTTTGGTGTTACACAGCAAAATAAAAACACTAAATCAGCGAAACGCGCGTCCAGTGTAAAAGTAAAAGTGTTTTGGTGTATTGTGGTGATTTAGTGTTTTTATTTTGCGATAACTGTATAATCTATTTATTTTCATTTTTAAAAATTCTTGACAACGTGATAATAAAAATATGATTGGCAAATAATTCAAATTGTATTATATATTCAAAAAGTAACATTTTGCAGTGCATGGATTACTTACTTGGGTATTCTGGTTATAATTACTGTTCTGAACTGTGTTGATTCTTTTTGGGGAGTTCAAAAGTGCGCTGTTGCCATTATGGACGACCTGTAAAGGTCCGTCCGAGGACTTCAAACGCATGTTGCTTGATTTCTGTAACAGAATAAAAATAGGTTAGCTATATTATTCATTGGCTTTATTTATATCTATTTCGCTAGATTTTAACGCAACTTTTGGACGAGAAAAGTTTAACATTTGATAATTGAAGAGATCGCTAGATTTTAGACTTACAATCTACATATATAAAATGCTAATGTTTATCTGTGTCGTCTCTACTGAAGTAACGACTTGCTCTAAAAAGTTGCATTTTTTACTAAAAGATAGCTAATTGGCTCTTCTAAAAACTGTCGTCGCCGGATTTTTTGTTTTTCATTTAATAAGAAAAAATAAAATAAAAAGTAATTTTTTCCTGATGTGGCGGATGCGCCAGGCTTCAACTAGTATATTATATTAGTATAATAAAGTGAAAGTCATCGAATTCAGGACTGTCAGATTATATTTGATTTAAATCAACATCAGATTCAGTATTGGAAGAAAAGAAAATTTAAGGATGTTTTTATTCAGAGCAACGACAGTTCAGTCAATCAAGCGCTGGAGTATCTTCTTCTTCTTCTAAAGGAAATCCATTAATGGATGTTTGTGATAACATTTTCCGTTGCTTTCCTATTCCTGGCGGTATGTATTAACCACTGTACACCACGTAGCTCTGTCCACTGTCTGATATTCCTCAGCCAAGACATTTTTTCCTTCTGATACCTCTCAGGCCCTTCATCTTGCCTTCAATCAACAGAGGCAAGGATGAGAGTATCAAGAGTATGGAAACCTTCTGTAAAGATAACCAATGCTGAAGGCCTTGTATCATAATCTCACATGTTAATGAAATTTTTAATAAAAAAACAAAAAAAAACGCTTAAAAAATCAATCGTCTAGCTAAGAATGTCCAATTTTTGTATCTTTAAGATAATTAAAGGTGATATAACTATTCAATACATCGTAATTATGTAAAACAGAAAATTGTCTACTAATTTCGAACAAAAATATTAGTATCCTCTTTATACAGGGTGAGTCTTAAATAAGTGCAAGGCTGGTAGATCTCGATAAAAGAAACATTTTTTCTCTTTACCATTTTTCAAATAAGTCCAAAATAACCGAGTTATTTAAGTTTGAAAATTAAAAAAAAATATATTTTTTTGGAAACATTTTGAGAGCCACCGTATTTTTTCTGTATTTGCATCTCTTTTAGTGCCGTAACCATAGAGTAAAACCGTAACTATGGTAATATCAGAGATTAAGAAATTATACCGTGGGGAAATTTGCGGTGAACAGGCAGTTCTAAAAAGTTTTCGAAAAATATACAGGGAAATTTAAAAGAAAATGCACGATTTTCAACATCTTTTTTTTGCGAAAAAAAAACATAGACGTGTTCTTGAGGTCAAAATATACCACCCCTGAAAATATTTCCACTTATTTAAGACTCACCCTGTATAGTATTCAGTATATTATTGCATCAAAAATAAAAAAAAAAATGTTCTGTAATCTTTTAATCTAACTTATTAATGTGATTGGGCATATAGAGCCGATAAAAAACGCTTTAGCTTGAAAACAACACGTTGAAAATTTATCTGTTGCTATTAGTTTTCGATCATTTGTCAAAAAGGCAAATGACAAAGTTGCATGTACCAAACCCTTTAATTTTATTGACAAGAGTATGTCAACGTAAAATATGAATTGAGTTTTCCCATATAGTAATGGAATGTATGAGTCAATTTTGATATTAAATAAAATTAACTTTTATGAATAAACTCAGTAATAATTAGTTATAACTAAGTAAACAAAAAATCATTACCTAATTAGGAATAAGGTACTTAGTTTTTTCTTGTCTGTCGTATCTAAATTCGGCTTTGCTTTTATTTGAAGCTTTGAAACTATTTGCCTAATTTGTTAGATATTAAATGCAGTGCGGCACTGTAAAGGAAATTTTCCTAAGGTGATTAGCAAAGTTGAATGAAAATGTTATGAATTAATTAAACGACAAGACGTACTTTAAGTTTAAGTTTTCCACCTAACTAGGAGCTTTGAGATAGATATTCATAATTAATTGAAATAGTGCAAGAGGCTGAATAAATTTTAAAGGAATCTTCAGTAAAAGAAGTAAAACAGGTTGTCCAGTTGATAGGATAAGAGCATAGTTCCTCCGGTTCTAGCCTTGCTTTACCAAATAGAAAGTGTCATTTGCGATCCAGAGCCTCGAAGTGACATATGTGTTCTGCTGTTTCAGGATCTTTCCCAAGTAGCATTTTTAGACACAAAATCGAAACAAAATTACGAAACATTTTACCAAAATATGATTTCTCTACATAAGCTACAACAATAAAGATCTTTGAGTCACAAAATTTTCGAAACTTTTAAGAAACAGATGTGGCTCTCATTTACAGATTTCCTACCCGTTTTGTTCCTGAAAAGTTTCCATAACTTATTTGGTATTCTGTCAAGTATGAGAACATAACCTTACTTTATTGTCTGGATTTTGTTCTGCAGTTTTTGCATCTAAGCATTCTGCAAGTTTTTATAGTATTATAATTAAAAAAGCAGAAGAAATGAGTGCAATACATTGTGAGTACAAATACAGATAATTTTCTTATTCGATTTTATATTTATTTATTATACGCATTAAAGAGATGATTTGTTTTAGGTATAAATGTAATAACACAACCACTACCCATACCAAACAGGAGACCAAAGAAAAACCTTACCAGCAAACGTTTTTCTTTTTTCTTTTTTTCCACAATGCAATACATGTTTTTATGTTTTAATTGTGTTATAATAAGTAAATAAAAATTTTTAAATTATTTTGACCAGAAGTTTCGATTGGCATTGTTGACAGGTGACTAGTTCGAAATTTCTACACAGATAGCGCTAACTCGAAACATTTTGGAAACAAGGTTTCCATTTATTGCCGATTCATTTTCGAAACACGAGTTTCCCTCTTTTTTGAGTCAAATTGTCGTTATGAACCGCATGTTACAATTTCAGAGTGTCATTTTCTATCGAATAAAGTAAAAAAATACCGAGGGTGCTGTAGTTACTTTCAGTGAAACAGGAAGTGACCGAAAACAATTATTGGATACGTCAATCGATCATAATTTATGTCATACACTAACATTCCAAATCTGTTTTTTTTTATCTGAAAAAATAAAAATGTTATAGGGACGAGCCACTTTTAAGACGCACCCGGTATACCCAGTAGTTTCTGTAAGATATATCATAAATAACCGAATGTAATAAATTATTTAATATCTTCCCTATAGAAATCACGATATAAAGGACAATTATCTGGAAAATTTGTGGCGAATGCCTTCAACCTAAACCTATAATTGAGCTTAATAAACCTCCATCGGTTCTGTCCGATGGGAATCGATATTTCATCGGCTAGAAAAGCGACTGCCGAGCCAACAACCTCGAAAAGATAAGTAAAGACAATGGCCCTTTCAGAACGAACTGAAAGGGCCGTCATTACGGACGGCCTGACCTAAATCTCAACCGGTTTGCTACCGCATGGAATTATTTATCGGGCTCAAATAATCAATGACAGTTCTTCACATCAGTTTTATTCATTGAATTATCCAAAATCCTAGATAGATACTGACGTGGATATATCAACAAATTAGACAAAGAAAATAAAGTCCTCCTACTCTGGGCCAACCAAGAGATAGAAGGCAATGAAAAAGCAAACGATTTAGCCAGGAAAGGAGCGAACACTTCACTAACTGGACCAGAACCGTTCTGCTTCCCAAGTGGAAACTTACTTAAAGCGGAACGCAAGAACCTGGAAGACTTCATTCTTAACCTTGAATGGAAATCATCCAACGGTCCAAGACACTCGAAGACATTCAACAAAACTTATGACCGAGAAAAATCGAAGATTTTCGTCGATTTAAGTAACTATCTTTGGATTGTTACGGGGTTCTTAACAGGACACTGTCTTCTCAACGAACACCTCAGTAGATTGAAGGTAAGAAACAACGGTGACTGCAGATTCTGTGCGGAAAATGGGGAAACACCAAAACACCTCATCAGTTAATTTTAAGTTAATTTCATAAATGATAGGTTTATTACACGTATGTCTATTATACAGGGGAGTCTTAAATAAGTGCAAATATTTTTCGGGTGTAGTGTAACAACCCAAATTCGTCAACAAAGTTGAAGAGGTAATATTTTGGCCAACTGTATAACAAGAAATTTAAAAGAAAGAAAGGAACCTACGTTGTGTTAAATATTTTTTTATTGTGATTACCTCGGATGCGCCTCGACAGAAGCAATATTTTGGGAAATTTGAGGAGAATAGGTTCAAAGTGATTATCTCGGTTATTTTGGATTTATTTGAAATACGGTAAATTTTTTAAAAAAGTTCTTTAAACTTTTTTTTGTTAAAAGTTTTTTCTTAAATAAGTTCAAATATTTTCAGGGCTGGTAGATCTCGATAAAAGAAACATATTTTCTATGTTTCTTTTATCGAGATCTACCAGCCCTAAAAATATTTGAACTTATTTAAGACTCACCCCATATAGTCACTTACTAGCGAAAAGTTATTCCATTATTTCCCTTGATTTCCTACCGAGATCTACCGCACGCTACACAACCAACTATTTTACAGTCTTTTTCGATAAATCGCAATAGTGTCACTATTCTGCTACAAAATTTCCTTTTAGATTTACTACCTTTAAACAACTATCAGAAGTAGAATAAATAATAAATAACATAAAATAAGCTCAGTAAAGACTGACACATCCAAAAAATTTCAAATCATATTCAAATGTGTCAAATGAATCGTCAAACAGACTGTCAAGGATCCCCATCCTAGTGCCCTTTGTCCGTCTACTTTGCATGAATACATGGATAGCATTATTCTCTTTCCTTAATCTTGTTATTCAAAGGCTGTCATCAAACACATAACCGTATTTTCATTGCGTTGACGTTGTTTTATTTTGAAGTTTTTATTTTGATACCTTGAAGCGCGCTTTTATACTGCAAAGGATGCAAGTGTGTTATTTATAGTTGTAGTTTTGGTTTTAATGTAATTTCAAATCCGCATAAAACTAAAACACAGGAAATCAACAAAGCTGGAAAATTTTTGGTTGCAGAGAGAATCAAAAAATAATTGCTCTGCAACTTCATCAAATGGAAAACCTAATTGAGTAACGAGAAAATTATATTTTCCTGAAATTTTCGCGCACCTCTCGAAAATTTCGTTTTGTTTACGTTCGGAAGGAACGCACTGCAATTTGCACATTTTACCTGCAAATTTGGATTTCGCTCGGTTGCCACGTCGACTGTTTTTAATTTCAATTAGCGCAATTGTTTGTTTATTATTTTGATACTTTTGTTTTGTCTACTTTAATATTTAGGCTAGGCGCTTAAATCCAATTTCGAGTCGGTTGATTAATTTAGTTGCAGAAGTGAAAACAATATATTGTTATGAGCCGATCGATCGGCCGACTATTTGATTGTATATGTGCGCAGCTTCATAACAATATATTGGTTTTAATTCTGCAACTAAATAATCGGCCGACTCGAAATTGTATGTCGGCACTTAGGTTTAGAGTTATTCGAGTTTTTTTTAATTATTAAACAAAACTATATAGGGTGTTTCAAAAAACATGTGCCAAGTCTTTATTTTTTTTCGATTTATTATAATTTTCTTCTATGTGCTTTTAGCGATTCGAATGAACTTTGGAGGGTAAAAATTGCCATGAGTACTACCTATTTTAATGCTAAAAAAGTGTCGACAGATTCATCAGGGACGTGCGTATGGGTTATTACTCGAATATTTTTCTAAACAAATATGTGCGCCACTGACCTTTTTCCCTCTTATTAGCAAAAATGTGTAGGCCATTTAATGCCGACTCAAAGTTGTATCTTGATATTTTGTCCATTTTGAATTCCTCGATGAGATAAATGCAGTTTTATTTATCACAATTAATATATAGTCTGTCCAACGAGAAGATCCTTGACAGTGATAGATGTGTCTGTCATTTTAATTTCAAAGTAGTTTATTTTATTTTACAAAGAAATAAGTTGGCACAACTGGAACGCATAGCAGGAAATATTTAAAATTTGATTGACAATTGATTACTTCAAAATATTGTGAAAAAAACTGTATAAAACTGAAAAAATGTAATCGAGTTATTTTATTTAATAAAAACGGTATGTGTTAATACAAAACAAACAAGAACAAGACACTACATACCAAAAAAAATATAAAAAAGAACTATTATTTACTTTCAAGCTTTATGAAACTACCCGCATTTTGTAATATTCCACAGGAATAAATAAAACAACATAGGTAAATAAAACAAACTATTTTATTAATAATAACACCTACCAAATTTTATACCTTAAAGGTTGATTAATTAACTTTAATCTTAATTATTTTAAACCAGTACCTTTTGACATTATTTTTCTGCAGTACTAAAATCCATTATTTACCTATCGTGTGATGTCGATATTTTACAGCTACTCCAGTTTTTAGTATGTGTTTAGTTTGATCCTTCTACCATATACGAGATGCACTTACATATCTACGACGAAATGGTATACAAACTTTATCGATGGCAACTTCATTGGTGTATAAAACTTTCTGCCTGGGCAGCGAGTATTAACCATAAACTGTGCTCTGGGTCTACAGTTAATTTTCACTCGATTTTTCCTCCACTTGACTTCAAAAGACACAAAACACACGTAATAATACGAATCAAAATGCATCATCTTCCAAAACGCAGGGTATTTAACAAAAGTTGACACAAAATTATAACCTATAATTTGGCAAGACTTTGACAAGCGTCAAAAATGACAAAAATCTAAAGGCGAGTTCATACGCATCGGCGTCCGTTTGTCGTTCATCATTCCGTCAAACCAATAAAATTGAAATACGATCTGTCATTTTTTAAATAAACCAATAAAACTGGTTAAAAACAACAAGACACGACGCATGACGGATTTATATTTAAACGCATCCATAGATAACTTAAAAATTATTAGAAACTTTTTTTAGTAAAATAAATAGATTGGTATGGGACGTCATCTGCTTTTCTTCTGTCATCGTCTGTCGAAATCTTACCTGAGAAAAAAAACAGAGTATAATTAAAATAAAAAAATAATAAATTGTTCCTCACCCATGTGTCTAGGAACTTTTTTTTAAATTTTTCATTGGGGAATCAATGAGTACTTATTTAACATTTCGGCAAGTTAATGACATTAAAATTTTTAAAGGTTACTATTAGAATTATTGGCGAATTATAGGCATATTAATTAAATTGCGTTTATCTCATCGAGGAGATCAAAATTGACAAAATATCAAGAAACAACTTTTAATCGGCATTAAATGGCCTACACATTTTCGCTAATAAGAGGAAAAAAGTCAGTAGCGCACATATTTTTTTTAGAAAAATATTCCAGTGACAACCCATATGCACGTCCCTGGTGAATATGTAGACACTTTTTTAGCATTAAAATAAATAGTACTCATGTAACTTTTACCCATCAAGTCAAATTGTTGTTGCAAACAGAGTCATTAATTGACATATGCTATGTCATTCTATTCAGAAAAGTAAATTCTCCAAAAATATTTTTCTCAAATCCTTGCCATAGAAATCTATTCCATACAAGAAATAAAAAATGTACTAAATACTAGAAAAAAAAACATTTTACTAAAAGAAAACTGGTAGTCGGTTAACCTGAAAAATATTTTTACTAAAATTTATGTAGAAGTGGAGGTAGTTTTCACCCTTCCAGAACTTTTTCTTGATTTTTGTGAATGTCAAATGTTAAAGCACTTAGCAAAACATAGACACCCAAAATGTCATTCAAATATCGGAATAACGGTTCTTAAAATTACAGTTGGGGGTTGGAACCTTTGGTGTTACACAGCAAAATAAAACACTAATTCGCCACAATACACCAAAACACTTTTACTTTTACACTGGACGCGCGTTTGGCTAACAATGTTAGCATCATCAGCAGATGGTTATAAACTGATAAGTTTATAGTCATCTGCTGGTGTTTTATTTTGCGTTTCCTAAAATATTTGAAAAAATGTGTTTATTTTTTTGATGCCCTCTAGCGGACAAACGAAGCAATTTTGTATAGAGATAAATTGTTTCAAATGAATTTATTTTGATTCCAAAAATACATAGTAGTTTTATATTCACGGAATATTGGAACACCCTGTATACTAACGTACAGAATCTTGCTTTTTGTCTGAAAAAATACAGTTTTAGGGGGAGCCACTTTTTAAAAACACCCGGTATAGAATAGTTTATGGAAATAAATTTAAATGTTTTGTATTCAAGTAATTTTGACCAATTAACAGAAATAAAATCAAATTAGTAAAATAATACCTTTCTATTTGCATTTGCCACACACATCACAAACACTTACTGTCCGAGGCCGGTTAAATACTGGTCTACTGAAAACATAGGAAGTTTCGTTCACATAAACAAAACGTGTACTAAAATAGTTCGGTAAGCTTTAACCACACATTATGGGAAGAGCACGAAAAACATATGGTTTCGTTCGCAAGCTTTTCGATTGAATGATTGAATGCAAAGAGCTTTAGATATAAATACAGTGGCGTGTTGTTACAGAATTTTTACAGAACTAACATAAAAGCGTTAACTAGCAGGGGCGGATACAGGAATTTATTTTAGGGGGGCCCAAATCAAATATAATGTAAAATATGCCTGTTAGGCCGTCATTTTTAACCCAAAAGGTTAATATTTAACCCAATTTATAGATTTTAGGTTTGGAGGCCCATGGGGCCTGGGCCCCCCTCTCTATCCACCACTGTTGACTAGTATATTCGCGGAAATGACAAAATATCTTGAAAAAAGCTTAGATTTTTTAGTATTGAATCAGAAATCTAAAAAATAAAAATTAGTATTTTTATTTGTTAGTTATTTTTTGCAAAATATCACTGTGTAGAATCCAAACGGAAACTATACAGGGTGAGTCTTAAATAAGTTCAAATATTTCAGGGCTGGTAGTTCTCGATAAAAGAAACATATTTTCTCTTTACCGTTTGACAAATAAATCCAAAATAACAGAGTTATTTTACTTTGACGATTTCTGAAAGAAATATTTTTTTGCAAAAATTTTGAGAACCACTGGGTCTTTTCTGGATTTCTTGTAAATTTAATCTACCACATATGTTGCCATATTATCAACAAATTATATTTTTTAATTAAAAACTAAAAAAAATACAAAACATTTTACCAAACCAAAGACATCATAATCGTGTTTCTGGGCTCACCCTGTATAATTACTGACGTATTATTCCTAAAACAAATTTGCTTAAACAACAAAAAATGCTTAACTTTTCAGAAAGTATATTTCTATTGCCTTCAGACATTTTTTTAGATTTTTGCACCAGTCGCGAAATACCCAGGCTTTTTTTCAAGAAACAATATAATTTTTTTTAAACAATTTATATCGGTTGCGGCTCGAAAGTCGCTCACCCCTATAACTTTTTTTTCAGATAAAAAAAGAATTGGTATTTTAGTATTTGACATATAATATGTACATTAGGATTGATTGACGTATTCAATTGATTTTGGTCACTTCCTGTTTCACCGGAAATGACTACAAAATTTGATTCTTAAATGACACTCTTTGTATATTTGTAATTTATTCTATAGAAAATGACACTCTGAGTAGAATGTGAAAATCATATGTCAACTTTTGACATTTTCGCTCAAAGAAATTGTGTTTTAAATTTCAATCTAGAGCACCATGGCTCTATTAAAAACACTAATTTTTAATCAACGAGTCTTGGAAAAATATATTTTATCGTCTAATGTTTTTCGTGTCTTGTCCTGGCCTGTTAAAAGATGCTCAAGTTGTACTTTTAATCATATATCAATTTTTTCAAATAGAACAAGGGTGGCTTATTAGTATATTTGGAAAAAACATTTTTTTTATGAATAATTTTGTACCACACGCTTGGTATTTCGAGTCAAATTGTCTTTATGAACCGCATGTTACAATTTCAAATAAACTATATACGAAAATATCAAAAGTTGACATATGATATGTCATTTTATTCAGAGTGTTATTTTCTATTGAATAAAGTAGAAAAATACTTAGGGTGTAATTTAAAAATCAAAAGTTGTAGTCATTTCCGGTGAAACAGAAATTGACCAAAAACAATTGAATATGTCAATTAATATTTGCGATAGACTATTTTGCTAGACAATTAATATAGGCGATAGACAAGGCCGAATCCATCGTCGTCGCCTTGTATTATATCTCGGATCTGCCGACTGAATAGATTCCCGTGAACTAGTCTTTTAATAGTACCTCTATGTCCGGAACGTGGCTAGCACTCCCCACGCCTGCCTAGCATCAATCGCGCTGGCTGATCCATACGTAAACTAGTCTTTTATTTAGTTCCTCTAGTTCCTTTAGGTCCGGATCCGATAACATACGGCATACGGCAGGCATTCACTCCTGCCTAGCATCGATCGCGCTGGCCCGATCCGTTTGTACGCAAACTAGTCTTTTATTTAGTTTAGTTCCTCTAGGTCCGGATCCGATAACATACGGCTGGCACTCCCTACTCCTGCCTACCATCGGGCTACGCGCGCTAGCCGATCCGTTGCATATTATTCTATATCGGTCACAGTCTCGATCCCGGAATAGGTCCCGAGGAACTAGTTCTTTGAGAAACCAGGAACTAGTTCCTTTCATTCCGGGATCGGAATAGTTCCTTGGAACTAGTTCGTTCACGAACTACACACCTCTACCTGACGTTACTTCAACATAGTTGTCAAATTAGTTCAACTTTAACCACTATATAGTTATCATTTTGTGTCAGTTCATATAATTTTTTTCAGAAATTTGACCAAATTGGAAACTTATCTTACATCAAAGAGAATTGATATGATTCCATTAATTGGTGACCGTACTATGCATACACCGATTAATAGAACGCTTAAATGCTCCTGATTTATGTAGTCTGGAATTTTTAAGGGGATATGTTAAAGACAGTGTTTACAAAACTCGATAAACTATAATCGAGAACATGATAGAAATGAAACGTGGCTGCTTTTCGAGAATGCCTCTTACTTGAAATGAAATATGGCTGCTCCACATATGCCACTTAACATGAAAAGACCTTTTGAAAACAGAATCATTTTATGCAGGGAACAGGCAAGGAAGAATTTTGGGTAATTGACTTCATCTAGCTAAGTAATTTTTGTAACATAATTATACGATTATATTTATAGTTTCAATTCTGTAATAATTATGATATGTATTATTTTAAACGTGTTTTTTTTATTACCATTGAATATTTTGCTCTAAATAATTTACATTTTGTGTACTGACGCTAAATCATAAAAAATGTTTACAGTACATCTGCTGGATCTGTGTCTATGAAAGGAATGCGGACAAAAAACATTTAAATAAACAGCAATATATTTTATACGTCGACTTGACGAGTACGTCACCGCAAATCGCTCCGCCCACTCATTTTATTGGCTACTTGCAAATTTGTCGAATTTTTATTGATGGGACGCGTCGTCTAATTTTTTACGAAAAACATCGAGAGAATATCGTTTCCCCTCTCACGATTACCCCGTAGCTACAGAACGGGCAGACGTACTGTACTAGGATCGCTTATACCAGGTTCTCTCTTTCAATCAAAACAAATAGAATTATATTTTACATGCTTTTTCTCTATTTGATATAAACCCAAGTTGACATCTATTTAAGTCTTGACAATATCTAGGAAAACCTTTGTCTAAGGGGTAGGTAACCTTAATAGTATTTTGAAAATATATGAATTCTCCATTGAATATCGAAATACTATACTGGGTGTTTTTAAAATAAAAGAGTAGGTACCTAGTAACTTGAGAGTTACTTGCTTTTAAATTTAACCAATATTCAATATTAATTTTGTCATCCTGTATAGCTTTTCGGGTCAAATTTTAATTTGGTTTAACATATAATGGTTTGGTTTGCTTTTAACTAAATATCTGGCTAAATATTCTTCGTTTTCATGAAATGTTAAAAATGTCAAAAACCTTACATTTTAGGTATACCTCCGGTGAAACGGAAAGTCACCAAAAACAATTGAATACATCAATCAATCCTAATTTATGTTATACATTGACATATTTAATCTCGTTTTTTTTTATTTAAAAAACTAAAAAGGTCATAGGGGTGAGCTAAAAAAGTTATAGGAGTGACAGTCTTTAAATCTACTTGGGCGCCACCCTGTATGTGCAAACTTATTTAGACTGTCACTGCTGTATGTGTATGGTGTTAACCTAAGTAAGCTTTAAAATGTGTTTAATAGCTTATACTTTTTCTCTTTAAAGTACACACTTACTCCCTTACACTTTACTTACGAAAATATGTAGGTCGCGCATAAAAAAGCAATACACGCCTTTTTTACGCCTCATATCCGCTCGCTCTGTATAAGAAAGCATTTATTACCCTATATCTCGAGGAGGAGGGCAAAAACCACCCTCTTAACGTGCGTGTTCCTCAAGTATACCCTCTCCAAGCTCTGTGACGTCAAAATTAAAAGGTTAGAACAACCCCGTTCCAATCCATTACAATATAGACGTAACATAAAATTAGATTGGCCCGCCGGCATAACACTTAAGTGGTTATAGAAATGCGATAAAAATACCGTTAGGCCGCCCCTATTAGTATAAAATATTCCACGGAATGAGAAAAAAACACTCGTTGTGGGTGTTTTAATATCGGGTAAATGGGGTGGTTGGGTTTTTATGAAACCCCAAAGCGGTCTGACCGTGCTTAAATATCCTGTGATCGCATTTAAACAACGTCAAAGTTGGAGTAGAAATAAGAATTCAATTCGATCTTTATTACGTTTATTGCCGAATCAATGTGTTTGTTGCAAAATGTATGTTTTAAGTAGGGTTCCCAACTTGAGCATCGGCGATTCCGGGACAATTAGCTTTAAGCTTTTAAATAATTCAAACAAAACAGTAAATATTAGAATTTTTTATTTTTAAACATGAAACATAACATAGATAAGTAGGAAAAAATATAACATAGAATTATAAACATAAAACATAACATATAGATAACTTTGGTAATTAGGAAGTGTAGGTGAATGGTAAGTAAGTACCTACTTAAAAAAACTAATAAATATTATTGGCAAAAATAACAATTAAACCACAAAATAAACGCTTTTTACTTTTCATTGCTACTTAAATCTATATTTTTGTTGAGATCGTGCAGCATGAAGCAGTTTTTGATCTGATTTAACTAGAGCCAAAAAGTCCTCACACTTTAAATTAAAATTTAGTCTTACTTGTATTTCTGATTTTACCTGAGATATACTCAATCGATTTCTTTCCTTGGTCCACAATGCTTCCATAATGCTGAAAATACGTTCGCAAAAAGCATTGCCGACAGGAATCGACATTATGTAGGAAACTAATTTAAACATT